CTCATATATATGGTTTTTAGGAATTAAAAGAATTTAACTCCCTCTTAACTAAAAACTTACTCAGAAATCTTTTGAGGAAGTGTTTTTTAACTAGGAAATCCTAGCTAATCTGAAATTAAAAATCTCCTGCAAATACCTTAACTTTGGCAAAACTTCTGTCAGCTGGTTATCTATGCTCTTGGGGGAAAGAAGATAGAGAAGAGAGTGATCTCCCCCACCACCACTACCCTGATAAAGGATGCAGAGGATGTGGCAAATGTAAACTGAAGCCACTGACTTGTCTGATTCAAACCATCAGCTTGAGCTTTGTTGGCCCACATTTTTCTGATATGTCTAGTATCACACAGTCCTTCCTCTCTGGTCAAGACAGTGCTACTTTTGAATGTCATCTTTTTCCCTGTGGGGTTTTCTTGACCACTATTTTGGTTTTTTTTTTTTTACAGAAACCCCTCTGGTCCAATAACAGGTCACTAGCCCGGCACATCTTGGGCAGATGGTATTGGAGAGCTGAAGAATAACACTTCCAATGTGTAATAAGTCCAACATGTCTATGTGGCTCTGATTTGCTCTGTAGATACTGCACAGTGTTTATGGACATATATATTCAGGAAAAATGAAAACGCATGTGGAGGCTGTTGCTTTCTGAATTTCAAAATTTAATATGGTGTGCTAATCATTGGGACACATATAACTCTGAGGAAACTGAAATTTTTGTCTCTTCGACAGGAAGCTGAACATGAGCCAACAGTGTGCCAAGGTGGCCAAGAAGGCCAATGGCATCCTGGCTTGTATTAGGAACGGTGTGGCCAACAGGACCAGGGAAGTGATTCCGCCCCTTCACTCGGCATTAGTTAGGCCGCACCTTGAGTGCTGTTTCCAGTTTTGGGGCCCTCAGTTCAGGAAGGATATTGAGGTGCTGGAGAGTGTCCAAAGAAGGGTAGTGAGGCTGGTGAAGGGACTGGAACACAGGCCCTACAAGGAGCGGCTGAGGGACTTGAGGCTGTTTAGTCTGGAGAAGAGGAGGCTCAGGGGAGACCTCATCACTCTCTACAACTCCCTGAATGCAGGTTGTAGCCAGGTGGGAGTTGGTCTCTTCTCCCGGGCAACCAGTAGTAGGACAAGAGGGCATAGTCTTAAGCTATGCCGGGGGTGGTTTAGGTTAGACATTAGAAAGAAATTCTTTACAGAGAGAATGATCAGACATTGGAATAGTTTGCCCAGGGAGGTGGCAGAGTCACTGTCCCTGGAGGTATTTAAGAAGAGACTGGATGTGGCACTTACTTCCATGGTCTAGTTGACAGGGTGGTGTTGGGTCATAAGTTGGACTTGATGATCTCAGAGGTCTTTTCCAACCTGGTTGATACTGTGTGATTTTATATAATTCTGTGGTTGTTGTTTGTTTGCTTTTGTCATTGCTGAGATTTGGAAGGAAATCAGAAATCTTTAATGAAATGGAGTTTTTTGTTTTCTAATCAGGTTTAGTTTTCAATCCTAAAGAAAAATAATGAGTAAAAGGTATTTTGTAAGTCCGTTTATGTGCTTAATAAGACACTCTCAAAAAATTTGTAGAAGATATATAGATGAATTAACACTTTAAAAACTAAGGTATGTCCAGCAACTAATTAAGTCAGAGATTAAACTTTCTGTACAAGAAAGTTCAGCCAATTAATTTTTGATCCACTTTCAAACATTCCAACAATAGACAACTACTACTGTGAAATATGTCATTCACAGCATGAGACATTACTTGTAACACTACCAGATTTAAGATGGGCTTAATTATTTGATATGTCTCCAACTTTTCTTAACAAATTTAATCTTTCTCTCCTGTTAATTCCTGTTTAGTATGTTCAGTTCACTGTATTCTTTTGAATGCTTTAAAGAGAGAAATATAGTGAAGATTCTTTTATGAATGGCCATTCTTTGCCAAATACAGTTTAAAAGATATTTGAAATATTAAGCTATTAACAAAGACAAGTGTGCAAATATAGGTCAGTTGCTTATGTTGAAAATTTTATATCCATTAAAATGTTGTGAATTTCCCTCTGAAATTAATTAGGATTATTGCACTGGCACAGGAATGTCTCTATATAGGGAATACTTTCAGTATAGAGGTAAAATTAATTATTTTCAAAGGGTAAGTATCAAGATTTTAATGACACTGTAGCTGCCAACTAAAAGGTTTTCCATGGGATAATTTTCCAAATTAGCCTGAGCTCTTGAAATTATTGGCAGGGGAGTCTTGCTGTGTTCTTCTGAATTTCAACAGTTACATAAGATCTACATTGAAAGCCAGATTTATTTACTGGTATACATGTTGAACAATATCTTGTTTTACACTTGTTATCACTGAGTCCCTGAGATCTCACTAAAAAAAAAAATCAGACGAATACTTTTATGGAATAGGAAAGAAAGGAATTTAAGGAGCGGTCAAATGATTAAATCACAGAATGAAGAAACTGTTACCTTCACTAAAGATCACTTAAAAACAAAGATGGTGGATGAAGACAAGAATGACTTCTGAGCAGAGTAAGAGAGACTTATAATTTGTGTTTATGGAAATTTTGGCTTACCTTGTCACTGTATATTTCTTACTAGTTTAAAATACAGGTAGACCATCTAAGAAATCTTTTACTTTGAAAGTCAGAGCTTGATAAACTGAACAGGTGGTTGCATATACGTTAGCTGGCTCTGCTACAAAAGATGTATCCATAGAAGATGAGGGTCCTCTATGCAAACAGAATGATTTCTTATTGCTTTCTTCAAACTCTTCTCCCTATAGAATGTGCACCTCCCTGTAAATTCCATGCAGGTTGTTAGACCAGACAGCTTCAAGACTTTAAGACAGAGAAATTTCTTTCTTCTGTGAGCAAACATGATGCAAATTAATGTCACTAGGAGAAAACATTTCTTTTAAAGAACATAAATAGATCACAAGTATGTAAGAGTCGTAGTCCTAAGTGTAAAGATTTCCATGATAGGAGTGAAAGTCAACAAGAGTGCTTGACACATATTTACCCATTCCTTTCTGATCCTTCTGTTTCCTGCTACTTCCCCTTGTAACCTTAATATTCTTGTAATCGCATACTGCCACCAAGCTTAATGTCTAGCACTCTGTGAAGTGTTTCACTGGTAAACTTAACTTTCCTCTGGTTTAATAGTTTTAAATGTGATATTGTAACAAACACTGAAACAAGGTAAAAAAAATTGCAATGACCTCTGCCTTTTTAGGATGTGCTATGGGGCAAGTAGTATCTAGACAGAGATGTGATCTTTGGTCTGCCTTCAGGACAAAGACATGTCTGACAGAACGTGTCAATAAGAGGTGGATGATTGAATGTTGTCATAGTACTGATTGTACCCTACCACTGCTTTAAACTAATCTCACTGAGAGGCACCTAATAACATACAGGAAGTATGAGGGCTGTAAGTGCTACTTCTTTTCAGACCTTTCCGTCATTCTGTTTCTTACAGTCCTCTTGAATGCTGTTGTAAATACAGAGCTGACTCTCTTGGGGTACCGAAGGCATGCGTTCCCAGTAGCAAATTCTGAATTTTTAAATATTTTACAAACCTTAAGAGAAATGAATACTCTCTTACCTCCAGACCAGACCCTGATAGAATACTCAGCAACAAGGAAAAGAAGAAACGTAAAATTGTGACATTGTTACAGCTTTCTTCAGTAGAAAGGAGGGAAATAAATTAATATTCCAAATATACACTTGATCAAAAGACCTGTAACTATGAGTTTTCAAAGTTTTCCACTCTTAATTATAGTACCTGCAATTTGTTAGGAGAAACTTTTAATATTTAGGCTGCTGTCTAAAGGATAATGTAAATGCAGGAAGTAATTATAAAAATGTCTCAATTGTCAGGATTCAGTGATAAAAGAAAAGCTTCAGCAAAAATTCTCTCATCTGACTCTGAATGAAAAGTAAAATAAAACTGTGGAGAAGATCCTGATTTCCACAGGTCATTATTCTTCCCCCCTGAAATCTCCCCCTGACTGACTTCAGTCCCTGCTGTGTTTATGAACAGTCTTCACTGATTTCACTTGTAACATGTCTGACCTACACCAAATGATGGTATGCTCCACATTTTAAAATGTTGTCTTTTTCATTGTTTTGGTGGGGTTTTTTTGTTGTGTTTTGTTTTTCATTTCTAGTGTGACACCAGTGGAGGTAAAAGCAGTACTCTGAGTAACAAGCAGTGAAACAGTCTGTCTTTTGAGGATTTTTGAAAGGCTATTTCTGAATCTCTACCATCAAATTCCCGACTCTTCCCATTAGGCATGACTTTCAGTCTGGGAAGGGCCTGATGCCATGACATCTTTGGGCATATCGTATTTCTCTTGGCAGTGCTTGCTGGGCATGGTCACTGCCTTCTCACAACTGTACTGGTACAACTTTACAGAGTGGTTACTCAGAACTTGGTCAGTCAAGAAAACTGTAAAGCAAGGAAAACCTAACACCAGCACCTATTTAAAAACATAGGCTACATCATCAGGTTTGTGAGCAGTTGTTGGAAAGGTTTTTACTTGGGAAAGCAAGTGTTTTAGGGGCCAAATCTCAGATGCCTAAAACACTAAAACTGCACTTCTGGTTTCTCTGTACACTCAAAGTCTGATGCTTACTTCATCCTTCCATCTTTTCCAGCAGCTCAGGAGACAAAATTGCACCCAGTGTCTTGGATGTTCTTTAAGGCAGGATTGAACTCTCTGATTTCCCTGAGGAAAGAGGGTTGTAGGGAAAGCCAGAGGCCCTCTAGCCCACATCTGTATGATCCTGTGGATAAAGGTTGACTTCAGCTCTTTATTTTTTTGCCTATCTTGATATGAAAATATTAGGTGCCTTTGCAAGGGTTTCTTGGGATTCTGGCTGCACTCTAGAATGTATCCAGAAACCCAGACAGCAGATGCTAGCTAGAGAAATATTGCAATCATAACTTAATTATGATTACATTTTTTGTTTTAATAAAGATAACCTTTTTTCTCTGAACAGGGGTACTGAAGAAGGATGGTATCTGTTTACAGACAGCTCAAATGGAGAATTTGGTCACACAGCTGACTTTGCTACCCCAGTCATCTCCTTTACAGGCCCCAGATGCAAAGTCATATTCTGGAACTACATGAATGGTTCAACAATAGGTTCTCTGGAGGTATGGAGATGCTATTTGTTTGGGATTTTTTTGCTTGATTGTTTGTTTTGTGGGGTTTTTGGGTTTTAGGGGGGTTTTTTTTGTGTGTGTGTGTTTTTTGTTTGGTTGGTTTTTGGTTTTGGGGTTTTTTTTTACAGCATGAAATTACTGTGAGGAAATTTATGCCTTCTCTTTTAATTTCATTAAAGCCTGGACTACTAATAAATGAAAATGAACAATTACTAACATTCTACTTCTCTCAATATATTATGGTCTGAAGGAAGAATTAGCTTCAATAGGCCGGGGAATATATAACCTATAGCAACCAAAATTCTGACCTTATAGACATACCATCCTTAGTGTAAGAATCTGCTATTTGCTTGGAGGAACTTACCTGTTATGCAACATCATATACACATGGGACTGCATAAATTAAAACAATAAAAGGGTTTTTTTCATTATGATGAAAAATACCTGGGCTACCCTAAGAAGATTATGCAGAGTAGCAGTAAACCCTTGAAAGCAGAAGTAGTTCAGGCAGATGAGATGTACAGGATGCTTTTGTACTCTTGTATACAATTAAGGGACCATAAAGTGAGTTTTTTAGTGACCTAGAATTATTTCCCTTTTCAGGTACTCTGTAAAACCAGTAACAGGACTTCTAAATTGTGGACTCAAAGTGGCAGCCAAGGTCCCCAGTGGAACAGAGCAGAAGTGTTCTTGGGAATTCGATCAAATTTTCAGGTATGTATTCCTATACTATGTGTTTCCTACTCAGCTGGCTTTAGTACTTCTATATTATATATACTTCACCTCCTCATTTCCCTTTTCGCCCTGTACATGTTATCTCTCATCTGAATAGTAAAAGTCATCTCTTTGTCTGTCTGAGTGGTTATCTGAGCTGGACTCAAGTTTTTTGGAGATTTCTCATTCCTCTTTAATCTCAGACTGATATCCATTTTTAAGACTGAGAATCCCTTCTGTCCTTGAACCCAACTTTGGTTAAACTATTCTACTTCTTTCTCCTTATTGTGTATTAAGTAAAAACATCTGGGTTTTGAAAAAAGAATCTTGAGCATGATGTTTGCTTTGAAATAAGAGTAGATTCCCAAGACCCTTAGAGATGCTTGCCGTGTTTAGTTGTAGTGTTACGAAGAAAAAACAGTCAGGAACATATTTTTAAGTATTACATTACCTGATACTTCTGTCATGGACTTTTGATGAAACTTTAACATTCTTCTTACATTTATGGGAATAAATGACTACTCTTTTTCAGACTTCTTTGCAGAAGTAGGTGAAACTCTTGCTATTAATTCAGGATGAGTGAGGGCTGGTATGTATGTTGTACAGTTTATTTCCTTTTTTTTTTTTTTTGGTTCTTGGTAGTGTTAGAAGATGACTCTTCAATAACTATAGTGATAGATCTGTACAAGCTGTAGTACAAGTTTTTGTAGGACTGAGCTTTGAAGGACTGAACTTTCATATTCTAAGATTTGCGAGAACCACCAGTGTCTGTTCTTCTCATGTTGTGTGTATAAGCTTTTCTATACCTTATTAGTGGCTTACTGTAATAGCTCTGTAATTTTTATTAGGTTATTGTCAGGGCAAAACGTGGTGTCAGTTACATGGGAGATGTGGCAGTGGATGATATTACCTTTGAAGATTGTTCCCCTTTGCTCATCTCAAGCAAACCGTGCACATCAGAGGAATTCACATGTGCCAACAAGTACTGCATCCCAAAGAATAATCTGTGTGATTTTGTAAATGACTGCGCAGACAACTCAGATGAAAGCCCTACTACTTGCAGTAAGAATGGATTCTTTTTTAATATAATTATCATAAGTAACTGTGCCTGCTGTGAATTTTTATTACTTGAATACTTTTAACAGCTTATCAGCTAAGAAAACAAACAAGAATAATTTACTTAAAGTAATAATTTAGTTCTATTCCTTGGCTTTTAAGGATTTGAAATTACTATTATTTAATTTAAAATCGCATTATAGAAAATACAAAGAGCTAGTAATGAATTTCTTAAAATAACTCAGAAAGCAGCTGTCTTTAAAAGTAAAATACAATTATCCTGCTTTCCATATGAAAAGAATGTATTAAAGCTGAAAAAAAATACTTCAAGCATAATACCCTTAGGAGATGAGGGACCTACCTCCTTAGATATTTCAAGGATTGTCAGGTCTCTCAGCAGATCATTTTAATCTCAATACTGTACAATATTGGTTTTACAAGAGGTATCAGGAAACAGCATATGTAGTATCTGATTCAAAGAATGATGTTTCACATCAAATGGCTCCTCCTGGATCACAATATATGGTATTAAAACTTTCTTTTTTTTTCTACTAGAATAGTGGGAAAGGCTCACACAATCAAATCTACATTATTTGGTACCATATGAAAAGGTACTTCATTTTTATGGAGAATATGAATACAGTTTATCAAATTCTCAGTGATACAAATTCTATGAAGCAAAAGTATGTTGATATTCTATTGATCTAAAGTACATGGCGAAGGGATTGTGTTTTGCAAATTATTTTGCAAATTATTTTCATTTAACTCCTCAGTGTTTTCCAATTCAGAAATAGTACATCACTAACCTTTATGGGGATATTCACTTCAGATCTTCTTTAATTAAAAATAAGGACTGATTCAATTGGAATTACTTTATTGGAAAAGATTCTCAGGCTTTGGCTTTTACTTTCTGAAATATTTAAAAACTGTTTTGTTTTTTTTTTGAGATTTTAGATTGTCTGTATTTCCCATCAAACACCATCAGCCAAGTAAAAACTGAAGCATTAAAGGCAAAATGGTTCAAATAGTCTGATGAGATTTAGGTTTGCAACCTACTAAAGTAAGGATTTTATTCTGATTTCCCATTGAAAAAAGGTGACTAGACACAGTCCCACAAATAAATGGTTCCTTGAAAGTGGTTTTTTATTGTTATTTTTAAGTAGAGAAAAAAAAGTTTAAAAAATTCTCAAAAAAGACCCATTTCCCCATCTGCATTTTAAACTGTAAACTTTACAGTGAAACACTATGGAGTTTTAAAAGCACATGGCTCATTACTGGGCTGAAACTTGTAAATCAACATGTATTTTGTTTCAGATAAAAAAGTAATCCCGTTTCATAGCATCTAATTGTACTGTAAATACTTGGCAGCCAATTAGGACTTTTTTCTTAGGTCTGGTGGTGCTTTACTCAATAGCTTACATCAGGAGTTAGCCTAATTTTTCCTTTCATTTTCTTTTTTTCTTTTTTTCTTTTTTCTTTTTTTCTTCAGTTTTGAAATAGGTATGCTGCTTTAAATTTCCACAATATGCCAGAGAATTTGGCATTTCTTTTATCAATCTTACCTCTGCCTTATACATTTAATAATGTAGAAATACATCATACAATACTTGCTGAAAATATACCTAACAGAAAAATACTAGTTCTTTTTTTTCCAGTTTATTCATAAGGCAGGCTGCCTCCTAAAAGAACACAATGATAGGAAACACATATTTCCACTCTTTATGCAGGTTTTTTTATTCCAGCCATCAAATATTTGTTTCCTCACTGCTGAGCCATAGAATGGTAGCTTGAAAACCTCAAACTTCAGAGCCTGATGAAAGCTCTAGTAGGGCAAAACAGGATAGACCAAAGCACAGAGAACAAGAAATGGGGAGTTTGTCCATCCATAGCAATTTTGTTTAAAAACATCAAGACAGATGACTTCTAGACATCTCCAAAGCACCTTTTAGGAGCAGTCATTCCTGGATTTCTAACTCTAGCTGTAGATATGGTGAGCTATGTGCATGAAGTCATCATACCTTAGTTAAAGAAAATCTTTCTGCACCATATTGAAGGAAACTAGTCTCTAACCTTTGTTATGTTCCTGAAACTCTAGAATGTCATTGGGACTACATCTCAAGACAATACTCACCAAGTCCAATTATCAATGTCTAGATAGAGCCACTACTGCTGAGCTATAAACTATGCCTCATAAAGCTGAAATATTGCTATTAAGAGATCTGTGCCTTGGTTTTATTTGCTTTGAGGAGGACTCTCTTAAGCTAGTTGCTTGACAACAGTGCTGTAACATGAGTTAAGTACAGATACACTGTTTTGTCAAACGTTTAGAAATTATTCCATTAGATAAGGAATGAACGATCCATGCTCAGAGCTGTTTTACTCTACAGGTCTGCTCCCGTAGTTTGCATTTCTTGCTCATCTAGGCATAGTTGGTAATAATATGACATAAAACAGCTAAAATTTTTCTCCAATTAATTGTTTAGTTTATTACAAAGATACATTAGATCATTTGTGATCAATATGATTGTCTTACAGTTAAGTGTTTTTCTTAAATTATTAAGTTGTCATTCAGTAGAACTAGTTCAGCAGCCCTGTGTCACTGCTCCACTGAGAGAAGGATTAGTTTAGTTTTTGTACTTCATTAGTAAGAATTCTTTGTAGAAGTGTCTATTACCAAAGATTTAACATGTCATCTGCTGTATGACATGTTACGCAGTCATCTGCTGTAACTCAAGCATCTAAGCAGGCTGCCTAAATTCTCTTTTTCATCAGTGGATTGACTCATTTTCAGGTTGAAGTTTGTGCAACTTACAATCAGTTATTTGAGTTAGATTAAATACACTGTCCTACAGATATGAATGTTTCTCTTTGTTGACTGTAGAGATCCTACAAGGACACCCAAATTTAGCTTAAGTAACACAAACATCTACAGCATTAGCAGGGACATTCAGTGATCATGAGTTAAGGTCTTGATTCTTGAAAACATGTCTTTAAAATAAAATAGTCAGTTGCATGCATGAGTTTTACTGACTCAAGATGGAACTTTTAAGTAATGGAAGGAATTTCTTAAAGAAGGATCCTGAAATTTAAGTAACTAAGTAATCATATGGCAAAATATGAGGACTAACCAATTTTATGGGCATTTGAGGTAAACCACAGTCTATATTTTTCATAAAAGGTAATCATATCATTTAGCACATCAGGTTTAGGTGATTTTAATTGTTATTTCAGATGACCTCATATATGCCGTAAAGGGCAAACATAAAAGGCAGTGAAGCTATTTTTACTAAATAGTTCATATTTTTAAGAAAAAGTTTCTATCTTCTTTTTCACCTTATGACCTTAAGAGAGAAAAATACAAAGAAAAATTATTTCATCTGATTTCAGCCTGAAATTTTTGAGGTAGCTATCTACACTCTTTGAGTATGTGTGTAGATTCCATAGATTCCAGCTCCTTGGCCTCATTACTGATGCTTCTTGTCAGCTGTCAATTAAATAAAGTTACTTTGAAATAGCTGAACTTTATCAGATCCCAGAAGAGGCTCAGGTTTTGTATACATTTTGCAAGAGAGCTTTTGTAATTTCTTATATTGTCAGACTAAATAATTGATGCAGTTTCCAAATTTGTCTTCAAAGCACTTTCCTTTCCAGCAATAATAATAAGAATATTCAGGGCATAGTCAAAAGTCTCTTGAAGGCTCTGCTGAAATTCCAGCTTATTTCAGCAAATTTAGTCTTACTTGGTAATCATTATAATTAACTTATAGATGCATAGAGGGAAAAATATACAGAGCTTAAACTTCTAGAGTGGTGCAGTTGACCTCACCATAATTTACGTGGACAGTTTACTCACCATGGTTGCTGTTTTGACATTCAAGATTTGAAAATTGGTTGTTACTTTGGAGACCGTGTAGTTTTCAAGAGCAATAAGGTTGCCCCTGAGCCTCCTTTTCTCCAGGCTGAACAACCACAGCTTCCTCAGCCACTCCTCATCAGACTTGTGCTCCAGACCTTTCACCAGGGTACAGTATATGTATCTAATTACCTTCAAAAAAAAAAAAAATCTCTTCTCATATATGTGTGCAAATGTCTTTCAGGTACATCTATTGGGCATTGCAATTTTGAGTTTGATCTTTGTGGATGGAAGCAAGATGAAAATGATGATTTTGACTGGAACCTGAGAACTAGCAGTACATCAAAATTGGGCACTGGACCAGCTACTGATCATACACTGCAAGAGCCAACTGGTCATTATATTTTTATAAAGAGTTCATTTTTTCAGCTGCCAGGACAGAAAGCTAGGATTTCCAGTCCTGTCCTAAGCAGAAGGAATAAAAACTGCAAGGTACATGAGGGTGGGGTATTACCAGGAAAAAAGAATTTGATTTCTAGATTGCATCAAGATAATACTCATAAAATGAATAAAGTGATCGCCGACATAATTCCTCAGGAAAAAAACAAATAAACAAACAATTTTTTTTTTAAAAAAGTCAGGACCAGATCTTATTTGCTTGAATTCTTGAGAAAATTTGTATTTTGCTGTGGGAGAAAAATGATTTCTGTAAGTAAATATGTGTCTGGGAGATTCAGGTGAAGTTGACAATGAATAGAGCGTCTGATTTACAATGTCTTATGCAACACTTGTCCAAAGTAACAAACAGCTATTTAATGGTTTGCAATTTTATGGAGAAAATTACAGTAAAAAATTTATTCAGAAAATACAGTAACAAAGGGTTTTTAAAGAGTAAAACTGGAAGTGGTAGGATGTGTGACAGAAGGTTTTGTTCCCAGCTCTCTAGAGAATGGAGAAATGTAAGGCTTGATCTCCCACAACACTCCAGCACATTGTAGCAACTTCAGCTTGGTCATTTCTTTGCAAACCTGGAATAAAAAGCTTCATAGGTTTTTATATATCTTTTATAGTTTTGCTAAAAGAATAATTTTCCAGAAAGTTCAACTGTGCACTGTTTTGAAATGGCATTTTTCCACATTTTCATAGTCTTTAAGTATCAAGGTAAAACTGAGTGGCATCTCAGTTTCTAACATCAGAGTCAAACATAAAGTGGAAGTTTTAATGTGAATATTCTAATTGCTATTAAAATTAGTATTTTTTTAAAATAGTAATAAGAAATAGAGCTAACAAAATATCTCTATATATTATTTACATGGAGAGGAATATTGCGCATAAATGGAGCTGTGGTGGGAGGGAAAGCAGTACTTTTAGCCTTTGGAAAATTAGCAAAAAAATTTAGAAAGACTGTAGAAATCTAATCAGGCAGGAATGGCTTAAGATTTTAAAGGTAAATTTAGGAATGGGTTTCCACAATTGAAGAAATGATCTGGGAAAAAACATTTGATTTGATATGAAAGAATTAATCTCTTGAATAGTTAATTAAGACCCAGACATTCATTTTAACAGATTAAATGATCGTTAAAATTATTTTACTCATTCTGTGAGTTACTACAGTGAAAAAGAAGTGTGACCAAATGCAGTTGTCTAAGTCATATGCCAGCCTAGATTCAAAAGAGTTTTGAGCTACTGTAAGTAAAAGCAATATTCAGACTTTATTTTTCTAATTATTTTACTAATAGCACATGAAGATTTGTGTAAGTTGGTAACAGGAATGTTTGTGGGCTAGCTACTTGGTTAAATAAGCTCAAGAGCTCTTTAATGAGCTGGCCATAAAATAGCCAATTTTTTCTCCAGCATTTGGAGCATCTCCACTACTGATACCATACTTTGACTTCTTCCTCGATCCATTTAGTGGAGCTACTTGTCTAGAAACTTGCCTGAGATTATATCAGTGTCTTTATATTTATGGAATGTGTAAAGTTTTATTGAACTTTTGCCTCTGAAATAGGACATGTAATTATTTTCCCTTAGACTTTTGTCCTTAGTTGTCCTCATTTTGCCAGTATGCCTTTATGCATCTAACAGCCAGATCCCTCAAAAGGGTAATTTTGATGGAACTGTTTTTCAAAAAGTTTTTGAACTGGTGATCACAATACTATGCACATCAAATGAAAGCTGACTTAGACTGAAATAATCCTAAACAGTTTGCTGTACATGGAGGTGACATCTGTGTTCAAAATATCCAGTCATTTGCCTCTACTTTCATTTATCTCATACTAATTATGAGGAAAATCAAAACCAGTAAGAGTTTGTCTGCACATGGAAAGAGTTCAGACAAATCTTGGAAATCTCAAACTGCTTGAGATTTCTAAGCCTTTCATATTTCTGAAATTCTTCTTTGCTTGAAAACTCCCCAAACTCTTTATAGATAAGAAAGCCAGAATGTATTAAACATAGATGACTTGATTTTATGATCCAAACAAAACTTTGCTAATTTTATTATTCAGTAGCAAAACTTAATTGGTCTTTAGAAAATTATCTTCAAAATTTGAAACAAGTTCATTTTCTACATTAATTTTCTATGTTATGTAAAATACATTAAAAAAAATTGTGCTCACACAAGCTTGGAGATGTTGGCTAATTTTGCTATCACATTTGAAAGTATACCTTTCTCAACCTTATCTGGTTTTGTGCTTTAAAACTAACTTTTTCACTATTTAACTTCTGTGAGAGTAAAACATATGCAAAGAAATGCAGAATGACTGAGAATGACATTCATGTCTGAATACTTATGATGTATCAGACATTAAACACAATTAAATGCTTGAAACATAGCTATTGGAAACTATTGCTTTTGTTACATTAAAAATTATTTACAAAAAGGAGCATTTCTACAGACAAAACTTCTGACATCCGTGATATTACCTGAAACAGTCAGTCTTATTTATGACATTATATAGTGCTTTTTGAAGGTTCTGACCAGTTATGAAACTTACTTTGCATTTGACCAAGCAAAGTGAAATTTCTGGTAAATGATATTGTATTAATGAAAAAAAATTATTTCAAGACCCAGAGCTTCATCTTAACAGATCAGAGAGTCCCTTAAAGTACTTTACTCCTTGCTATGTGATTAGTGGAGCAAATGTTACACCATATATTACAATAGACTTATGGGATCTTAGGTCCTTTCAGATCAATGGAAAATGTATATTTACATCAATGGGATAAGTAGAGAAAACAAATATACATCAGAAACTATAAAGGGACATACACGAACAAAAATCTTTTATCTGTATACAAGACTTTCACAAACAAAGCTTCGTCTTCAAAAGAATAGAAATCCTAGCAAAATAGCCTAAGTAGAAAGTAAGACTATGTCAAAATATATCTGCAAAAGAAAAAGAATTCTGCATCAAAGCATCAGTGATAAGTAATTATATTATCTGGAAACTTCAACCCATAAGAAAATCATATATTTATATATTTATATATTATTGTGGAGTAATACAAAAGTTGTGTTAAAAAATAACACTTGTGTACCTTTTTTGAATTATTATTCACTGCAGAACATTGTATAGAGACAGTAGCCTGGTACTTCTGGTGTCTCTATAAGGAGTGCTCCTTCAAGCCAGTGTTAAAACAACCATTGTTGCAGACTGTGGTACCAAAAGAGATGGTGTTGAAAAAAAGTCTTAAATTTAATTTAATTAGTACCAGAAATATTTAGCATACCTTGTGATTCTGAGGGAATTTAAGAATATTAAGAGAAAGCATAAATGATGTCATTAATATCAGCAACTTCTTTATGTTATGTGTAGTAGGAAGCATTTCATAGTTGTTTCTTTTTGCAAATACTATATTTTCTGTAAATTTTTGAATTGCAATTTTTCCAATTTATTTCAGTATGAGAAAAGTATTTACAAATGGGACCAGTTGTTATAATTCTTTCAAAACTCTATTATAAATTCTCCAGAATAAACCTGTAAATATTAAGTAGCCAACTGATGAATGACAACATCCAGAGAGACTTGTAGAACTAAGACTAGAGAGCTAGCCTATGTCCTGATGAAAAGCAAATAAGTATGAGAATGAATATTTCACATGAATTCAAGTTTGAATAATGTGGGGTCCCAACTAGGAAAGGACTCGGATATATGCTTAAAACTAAATTTGAATATAGCTGTTAGTAAGATGATATTACTCCTATATGATATATCTTGAAATGATGTAATAGAACAGAAGTTCTATTACAATCAACATACTGCAATAGACAGTATGTTGACTCTAATATATAAAATCATTCAGAGTAATTGAGATAAGTGTATTGTAGATAAATGTGAAGTACAGAAAAATATTTGGGGTCAGGGAAGAGGATGGAGTATAATTCAATCATCATAAAAGAAAGGAAAATATACAAAATACAGTCTGGTAATTTTGAAAAGAACTGTAGTCACTCAGGAGTTGTGTGGTAGGAAACTCTATGAAAATATCTGCTCAGAATTTAATGACAGAAAGCAAACAAAATTTAGCAGTGGTGAAAAAAAAGAGATTAATCCTAAAAAAATATGGAAACATTATATGATCTAAAGATATACACATACATTGAAAGAAAAGCCTCATTTAAAGGAGGATTTCAAGAGAAATAGAGTAATCACAGGACACGAAAATGTCAGGTGAGTATAAATATTTCCAAGTAAGACTTATAAAAATTAGATTTGACTACACTGCACAGGAGATATTCTAAAAGTAAACACAATAAAACTTTCAAAAGAATTGGAACACAAAGCCCTGGGTGGTTTTGCTAATCAATAATTAAAGAAAATAAATTAAATAGAAATGTAGGGCATTTTTTTAAATAGTATATTTATGCAATGTAATGCAATAGACTGCAGAAACCTATAAATTCTATAGCACCAGGTAACACAAAGAGACATGGCTTTACATCTGCATTACGGATATCATAATATCTGCTATTATGTTTTTATAGCTATAATAAATAAGAGTTTTCATACTTCAGGGTTTGTACCATGCATTATACTGGGAAGAAATTTGAGCTATAGACATATGATATGATATATATTGCATGATAGCATATATGATAGCATGAATTACCTTCTTTCAGGATCCTACATGATTTTTGGAAATATTCTTATCTTTTTCAGAAACAAGATAATGAACTAGATTAAGTATTAATTTGACTAAATTCCTTTGTTCCTTTTGAACTGGAAATAACTTAGAGTGCAATTAATGGTGAAGAATTTTCACAGCAATTTGTATTTATTTGGTGTTACTTTTGTGCTTCATAAATTGTTTTCCTGATTCTAATTAAAAAAAAATAAATCACCGTTTTCTAATCTAAGGACATCTTATATCTTATTTTAGATTTTTTTTTCAGTTGTGCATTTAGAAGATTTGCTCCCATAATAGATTAGATTATTTTCTAATTACACACTCTATAATCTGGCACAAACATATCTATAACCACACAGTTCAGTAAACCAAGTTGCTTCCCATATTGTAAACGACACTACTCTATTCCTCTGTTTCCTTATTAAGTATTTTAATTCATTTACATTTACATGCAATAGTTATTCAAAGGGATGAAAGATCAACTGTTGAGTATTTTAGTGCTGGCTTCAAAGTTTGGCTTATGGGATAGTTCAAAAATTGCCACTAGTAAGTCTTTTTCTGTGCATTTTAATTAAATTGTTTTTCAATCAATAAAATTAAGGGATATTGTGAATGTAGCCAGTAATGCTCAGTTTAAGAATTAGTGTAAATACAAGAGCAGAATGTGTCTGAAGTCACCTGTTCCATAGCTGATGCTCTTATTCTTGCTTACAGATAATTTTCTATTACCATATGTATGGAGCTCACATCGGATCATTGATTGTCTACCAAAGAACTACATTAAAACATGAAAGAATTCTTCTTAATCTTACCGGAAACCAGGGAAATTTCTGGCAGCGCAAGGCACTGACGCTGGCTGGAAATGGAAACGAAGATTTTCAAGTTGTCTTTGAAGGGATAGCTGGAAACGGTCCCAAAGATGGCATAGCACTCGATGACCTTACGTTTTCCAAGGAGTGCTTACCATTGCAGGAGTTTTTACCAGCAGAACCCACCAAGCTGCCTCCAACAGGTATGTTCTTGCTGTGGACAGTCTAGGTAAGTCTAGAAAGAAGGAATAGCAGCAATGCTTTCATTTCTTTGTCTCTTCTTCAAAAGAGAAATAGAATAAAGACATGTGGAAACTAAAATGCTTTTAGGCAATCCATGAAATTATAATAAAAATATTTTATGAAGTAATTATGAAGTAATTTTTTGGGTACTGATTTAACACCTGTGAAACTTCTTGTCTGGTGATGTTTACTTAGACAATATCCTGGTTAATTTAGTAGGATTTATTTTTCAATAGTTTTAAAATGTAGTTATTGTAAAATAAAAAACTGAATGGGAAAGAGCCAATATGGATAGTTTGCAATAAGGCCAACAAGCTTTAATACTTTTGGCTGGTGAGAATTGCTATTGATACTGTTTAGGCACCACATCCATCTTCCTGTGTGGTGTGGTGCCAGCATTGGTGCAATTATTTGCACCATCCTCACTTACTACTCAAGGGAAATAAGATTCAGCAAACACCAGATATAATAAAGTTCTGATGGGTATGGATCCCAATAACACCAAGGTAAGAGCTACTCATGAAAGCACTGATATTTTTCATTACCATTATTTGCTTGGACACAAATGATGAAGGAGAAACTCTTTCTGACAGAACAGGACCAATATTTTTTCCTCCTTCCACATTTATCACGGAGCTACTCAAATGTAAACCCCTGAAGTGGAATTTAGGAGATGCATTTTTTTCCTGGGCCTAGTACAAATTTCCTGCATGGCTGCAGAGAGTCATTTTATCTCACTTCTCTGTGTTTCTGATCAATAAAACAAAGTTAATATTTCCCAATGTCATGGACTACCAGGAGAATGAATCATTAATTTATGTGAACTACTTTGCTTTGTTACTGCTGCTAATGGGTAGCCTTCCCCTGTAGGATATCATTAAGCACTGCTCAGGCATTGAGAAATAACACTGATGAGACTGCATCAAACCCAACAAATTACACTGTACTTCACACACAAGATAAGCAGAAAAAGATACAGGCAAAGGTTCTAGGCATCTCTCTGATAAGGTGCCAGTTACAGGACATAGTATTTTGTTCCTACTTCTGCTAAACAAGTCACAGGAATTTATTTCAAATGAGATTGGTATTTTAAAGTTCAGCTTTATATGAACATTACTCTAAGAGGAACACTTACCAAGATTTCTAATTCTTTATTTTTGTTGTATTCAGGCTCTATCCTCTTAATGGTAGATGCAAGTCCCTATGGCAATGTTAGAAGCTTTAAAAGCTTTGGTTTTGATAGTAAAGGATGTTCCAAAACACTTTTATTATATATATAATAAAAAAGCTACTAAAATCTCAGGAAAGAGCCACCAGAGACTGATTTCTTGGTGTATCTGATCTAAGATGTACTTTGTGAACTTTGTAGATTCACAACACTTTGAGGTAATGGTGTAAATTCATCCTTATGATGAACCATTTTTTCTATATCAACAAATTTCTCTTGTCCGGGATAAGAGTTTACATCACCCACTGAGAGGTTCAACTTGCAGCTACCATTTAGCAGTGATATCTGTTTGGATCATTGCTCAAAAAGTGTGCTTACAAACCAGAGCATACCTACAGAAATGCTCTGAACAGTGACAAAATGCATGCTGGAAGTTGTGAAAAGTACTCTGCGATGCAACTTTTTTAACTAGAACCAACTAGAGTGACCGTGACGATCAGCTGCAAAAATGCAGACTCTTAGACTTATCTGCTTATATGCAAAGGAAAGTTGAGCCAAAAGTGAAAGATTTTTTATCCATTTATCAAATTTTTCCGAGTTTCTGAGGATGATGATCTGTTCCTTTCTTGTCTCCAACTAGGGAGAATGGTTGTTAAGCTAAAATATTTCCTCTCCAAGAGAGAGATTTGTAGTTTTTGAGGTCTATTCTAATACGATTAGTTTCTAATGTCTTTTCTTTTTTTGTAAATTATCTTCATAACACACACAGCAAGGGAGAATCTACTGAATCTTATTGAGCAATATTGCTGTGTAAGACAAATATACTAAGGAGGTCTGTGTTTGTTATTTCTGCACATAGAGAAATGGATGTTGGCAATGGATGTTGTGCAGAGACTAAATAGAATTGAGTTATTAACTTTTCCCATCTGTGACAGAGATTCTCACTGTTCAGGAGGATTGTTTCCTGACTCTATATAAACACTTTGAAGTTCTACACATTAACAAAAATATATTCTAAGGTGGCTATTTCTTTCAGAAAAGCATGCAATAATGTTTAAAGGCTAAAAGCAATCACTGGACAACTAGAAAAAATATTTTTGAAAGTTAGCATTGTCATTTTGTGTAAACTGACAGGTTATTGTAGACTGTCCTCATGATGTTGCTTAGCAACAGCAAAACTGAAGTGGAAAGCCTCTGAGAGCCACTTAAATTGCTGGGCCTGAGAAACAATAAATATCATTTTAGCCTGGTCCTTATCAACTTTTCACTGTACGAACAGTGATGCATGGGGGAACATTAGTTTTTGTTCCCACAATCGTACCATGTGTAGGAAAATACAAAGACAGTTTTGTTCTGACAATGCTATTTATGCCTGTTGCTGTGTCTCTGCAGTGGGGTAAGATTCTTGACTTAGATTCTGCTCTGTGTGAAGGGCTACCTGTATCCACACCTGCCCAGGGACAGACCCTGGCCACACTGAACTTCGTAAAAGTTGCATTTGTTTCTGTATTGGGTTTGCGTGGCATGGTTTTGGGGCGGGAGGAGGGCTGCAGGGGTAACTTCTGTGAGAAGCTGCCAGAAGCTTCCCTCGTGTCTGCCAGAACCAAAGCCAGCCAGCTCCAAGACGGACCTGCCGCTGGCCAGGGCTGAGGCCATCAGTAATGGTGGCAGTACCTCTGCGTTAACACACTTGAGAAGGGGAAAAGTTGTTGCACAACAGCAATTGTGGGTGGAGAGAGGAGTGAGAATATGTGAGAGGAACAGCTTTGCTGACACCAAGGTCAGGGAAGAAGAAGTGAGAGTAGGTGCTCCAGGTGCTGCTGCAGAGATTCCCCAGCAGCCTATGGCGAATACCATGGTGAGGTAGGCTGTCCCGCTGCAGACCATGGAGGTTAATGGTGGAACAGTTACCCACAAGTTATCCACGAGTCATATTTTATGCTTATAGTCACTTTCACAAGAGACATCACAGATTTGGCAACAACTTCCATGTCCTCTAAATTTGCTTGTCCTCTGTTATTGCCATCCCTTCCCTCCTGCACTGTTGTTACTGACTATAAAAATGGCACATCCTTCCATCAGAGTTTCTGTTCCTGTCTCTGTACCATTTTCCTCAGAATACAACAGCTGTCAAGGGCTGCTGATCAGATTAGCAGGCTACAATACAGAAAAACTATTCCCAGAGACTAGAGAACTACTCTCTGCTTGCTTCAGTTTTGTAGAGAAGACAGTTATTTTCAAAAAATTAAAAGCAAGTCACTGAAGTGTTGCATATGTCTTTCAGAACACAGGAATATTCACAGAGGACCACATCAAGGTCCGTTTCGCTTGATATCCTGTCTCTACTGCTGTCAGTGAGATGCTGAACATATATGATACTTCCTTCTAGTGTTCCTAATATTTCCTTTTTAGGAGACCTTATGAACCAAATGTGGTCTTGTATATGTAATAAACCTTAATGTATTTGCCTTCTGTGTAGAGTCTGGTTTCCCTGGGAACACATTCAGCCCCTTTCTCATTTTTGGCAGCAAGTTGTACAGTTCTGCCACTTGCTGAGAAAGCAACTCTATTTACACCCTGTCTCTTTTGACTGAAAATGGTGAACAACAGTCAAACACACCTACTCCAGATTGTTCTCTTTGCACTCATTGCTCCTTAAGCAACATTATACACGAAAGGAGTTCCAGCTTATTTCTTACATGGAAACTATTCCATATGTTTTCCTTTCTCTCACTTTTTAAAGAATCTACTATACTCTTTCCGGATTATAAAATCGGCTCTGTGTAGAGCATTTAGGAAATGAATGATCAGTGGAATAATACTGTAACAAAATTATTCTTTCTCTCTTTTCTCTCTTGTCCTTTTTGAACACTGGGCTTTTGTGCTCCTGGAGCTATTTCGGTACTCTACTCTGTCAGTCTTTAGGAGTGGTAATGATAGGATCCCACCACCTCTATGTGAAGACAGATTGTGTTATTTTGTGTAACTCAAGGTCTCATTTCGTTGCCAGTCACTCAGGATGCAATTAATTTGCTTAACTGTGGCTGTTTTTCTCCACTGTAGTTGTATAAAATAACTGACACACCTGTTGGGGTTGGATGTTACAAATGTCTAGGAATTCTAGGAAAACCAAATGTCCTGCAATGCAAGCTGATGTCAGGAAGGTTGCCCAGTTTATAACTAGCAGTGGGAGCAGTCACATTAAGCAAATTAAATTTCATAAAATGCTTTTCCTATTACTTATAGTTATTCCTAGCTTATGTCACCCTGAATAACTTCGTATCACTGTCAATGTTTCTTAACTCGTTACTCATGCACTTTCCTTGCTTTTATAAGTGCTAAAGAACAGAGTCTTGCTATGTTTTTCTGTTCTTTGCTTAGTTTTTTGTTTGTTTTGGTTAGTGAGGGTGGATTTTTGTGCCAGACTGATTTTTTAATCATTTTAGCACAAAAGTCTAATTCACAAAAAAAAAAAATTAAAATTTATAGAATTCATCAGCAACATAATTAAAATAAATATAAGCAAAGTAATAGAATTATCATAAAATCAGATTTGCCAAAAATATTTTCATTTGAAATATTGCTCAAAAGTTTAGTGTACTCTAAAGGCCAAAGAGTATTCCTTGTATCACTCTTTTGCAGTTATAATTAGATCTATAAAAATTTACAGACACATAAACAGAAATAACCTTGGCAGTTATTGTAACTAATATATAATTACAAGAACTTTCACATTTTATGCTTCAGTGCATAATGTGATCTTATACTGAAAGGAGGAAAAATATCTTTTTA